GGCAGGGTTCTGACCTTAGTAAAGTGGAACTGCAGGGGGTCGTCCGTGGACAGCGACACCATGAGGCCACGGGACAGGTACTCGGGTAATGGGTTCCGGTGGTAGCTGAGGAAGAGGCTGTTGTTGCTGAGTGGGGACATGGCGATACCGATCTGCGCCAGGTAGTACAGGTACTGCAGGACTGGGGCCTGGACAGGCCAGGAGAGGGAGAGAGGATGGGCTGTCAGGGGGCACCCGCTGGGGGGGGAACACCTGTTTCTGGGGGGCGAGGGTGGCGTTAGAGTCCGGACCGGGCTGATGTTCCAGGGCCAGCGGCGGCCAGAATCCAAGCTGGGGGCTCAGGGTGGAGACGGGTGCAGAGGTTCGGACTGGGGCCAGGTGAGGAGCAGCGCTGCTGGAGGGGCCCTGACCTTGCGCAGGAGCAGTCCGTGCGAGATGTTCTCAGCCAGCATGAAGGCCGACACCAGGTGGTGGATGGGCCCCGCCTCCCCGCAGTGCGGCCGCAGGACAAAGGTGTGGAAGCCCCTCTGCCTGGGGGGCGTGGAGAGGGCATCAGCTCCAGAACCGGGGCTCACCTGCACTCCCGGGCACCCCACCCTCAACCCCAGTGGCCACGTGGACAAAGAGGTGGGGGAGGTCCTGGCTGCAAGGGATGAGCCACGGCGCCCTCAGGGCAGGTAAAGACCCCATCCAGTCCAGCAAGGGCCCCAGGTCCGTGAGGACAGGACGGGCACGGCCCCCAGCGGACACCTGCGCAGGTGGTTCAGCATGGCCATGTTGGCAAAGGTGTAGTACAGGTAGTAGGCATAGGGCGGGTTGTCGTCCTCCATCCAGGCCTCAGGGAGGGGGCTCTCCAGGTTGAAGACGTGGTTCTCGGGCTTGGACTCATCGTCCACGCTGTCAAAGCCGTCGACCTGCACGGCAGGCACCCTGGGGTCAGAGCTGCGGCCAGGCCCGAGCTCCGCGTCCCCCCGTGCCTGGAACGGGGCCACCGCCTCACGTGCTCCAAGAAGAGGTGCAGCTCGGGGTGGCTGGCCGGGTGCACGGTGGCCTCGAACAGCGGCAGGAAGATGTTCGCCAGCATCTCCTGGAAGTTGGCCAGCTGGCCCTTGGTGCGGTACACATCACTGCAGGTGGGAGGCACAGGCGTGCGCACACGGGTCAGGCCCGCAGGGGCCCCGCGATGACACGCGCTCTTGACCCACAGCGGCTACCCCGGGCCAGACAGAGCCCGGGGGGGCCAGGGAGGCCCCTCCTGCTTCGGGAGGGCTCAGCTGGGACGCAGGTCGGCCGGCCCCGCCCTGGCCCCGGCCTCAAGCCCCGCGCGGCGGCCCCTGCAAGGGACACTCACAAGAGGCGGGGCACCTGCACGAGCCAGCGCACATTGGGCGAGTGGACTCGGTGCACCACGGCCCAGCGCGCCAGCTTGTCCCACTCGTCCCTGGAGCGCCCGTAGATGGAGAGCCGCAGCTCCGCGTTCTGGTACTTGCTCTCCTCCAGGTCGGACATGACCTCCTAGACACACGCGGCGAGCCCGTCACTCAAGGCTCCCCGCTGTCCCATCTCTGCCCCCAAGCGCTCGTGCCTCCCTCGCCATCGGCCGGCCCAGGGTCTCGGGGGGTCAAGGGGCGGGCTGCCAAGGCCAAGCCGGCACCCCCTCACCTTGATGATGTGAGCAAAGTATTTCCCGGAAACCCTGTTGTCGGTCTTGATGAAGATCTCTCGGAGGACAGACTCCCCGATCGGGTTGTATTTGGCATTGAACTTGTCAAAGCGATGAAAGGTGTTCCGGTCCTGCGGGGCGCGGCGGGCCCAGGTCACCCCGGCCCCCGGCCCGCACGCCGACCCAGCCCCCCTGCCCCTCTGCCCGGCCTCGGGGACGCACGGCGTGCACGTCAAGGGTGTCCACGCTCAGGTCGTAGGCGGTGAGGTTCATGCTCTCGAAGACCTCCCGCAGCGTCTGCTCACGGCCCTGCTCCACGTGCACGATCTCCTCCAGGTGCCGCTTCATCGCCCGCTTGATGAAGCGCAGCAGATGCTTCTGGTTCATGCAGGACGAGGCGTGGATGTGTGTGTCCACCTGGGGTGCGACAAGGGGCTGCTGGGTCCACCCGAAGCCGGGAGGGTCCGAGGCCTGGGCGCGGGACCCGAGAGGACCCTCCAACCCGGATGCCTGCGCGGAGACCGTGGGGCGAGGGTCCACCTTGCGGATGTTGTAGAAGTCCCGGTGTGGCACCTTCTTCTGGGCGGCCAGCTCCTTCATCTCGTTGAGCAGCACGTGCATCTGGAACTTGGAGCTCAGGTACTGCAGCCGGCGGTAGCAGAACGACTTTCTGGGCGGGGGAACGAGGGCAGAGGGTCGGGGCCGAGGGCAGGCGCCCCGGGCGAGGGCCCGGGTTGCCCAGCAAAGGCAGGAGGCGGGAGGGTGCAGGACTGAGGCTGCCCAGGGCACCAAGGGTTGGGAAGGTGCAGGCCTCGGTGACTGTCGGGGTGAGAGAGAGACGCGGTGACAGTCGCGGCGGAGCTGAGGCTGCAGACTGGGGCCTGGGAGAGGAGCGGGGCCGGGCGGGGACTCACATGGGGCCATTGATAATCAGGGCCATCAGCACGTTGACGTCAGCCACAAATTCCTGCAGGTCGGGGTAGGGCAGCTCCACCTCCGAGCAGCTGGCGTGTGGAGGGAGCTCGGTTGAGGACAGGAAGCCAGGCTCTGCGGGCCCTCCCAGGCTGAAGCGCACCCCCACAGCTCCCCCGCACGCGCACCCACACCCCTCTTACTGCTCATCAGGCTCCCTGCGGGTGTAGACGTGCACCACACCCCGCACCATGCGCAGGCCCAAGCCCAGGTCGCCAGGCATGGTGCTCGGCTCACAGCGTTCATACGGGTGCTGCTCCAGCGCGGGAGGGTGCACCGGGGCGTCTGCAAGGGTGGGGTGAGGGAGTCAGGGCTGGGGAAGTTTGCAGACCACCCACGGCCCAGTCCTGGGGCCCCAACAGGACAGCTCCTGCCGTGCCCCCAGCCCTGGCCCTGCAGACCAGAACAAGCCTGGGTGTGGGCAGCAGCAGGCAGGGGCGTTCCAGGCCCTGTGCTCAGGGAGGCTGGGGACAGGGCATTGGAGGAGGGTGGGAATGGGGGTCCCACCAGCAGACACAGGGGTGTCGGGGCCCTGTTCGTAAGTCCGGGTCTCCAGAGGCTTCTCGGCCAGCTGCTGCAGGTACCGCCGGGTGGTGGGGCAGAAGCTCTGCAGCGACAGGGCCATGTACTTCTCCCGGATGAAGAGCGCCCGCACCACGCTCTTGGCCGCGTCCAGCAGGTCTGTGAAGGGCACCTGCAGACAGAGATGGACTCGCACCCCTCGGCCTCGGCCCCCACCGGGCTTGGCACAGCCAGGGCCCTAAGTCCAGAAATGCACCCGCAGTCTGTGCCGAGCGTGTCAGTGCGCACCCAGCCATCTGACCCTCAGCTTCTGGAAAGAGAAGCGCCCACTCCAGCCCCAGTTCCCACGGTCCAGGCTGGGGGTGCCCCGGGGGACGCAGAGCGGAGCCCCAAGGCCCCGTACACTCACCCCACACTTCTCCTCCCCGGAGATGGTGACCCGCTGGAATTCCCGCTCCAGCACCACATCTCGCTCCCGCAGGCCCCGGTCACCCTGCCCCTCGCCCTGCTCCTTGTAGAGCCTGCGGGAGGTGTGCACAGGAGGGGTTGGAGCCAGCAGGGACAGGCCCAGCCCCGCCTCCCAGGCGCCCCTGCCCTCCTCACTGGAGGTCGGAGTCACTGTCCGTCTTCAAGAAATCTTGCTTGGCCCGAAGCAGGATGTCCGGCTCCAGCCTAGGGGTGAAAGGCATGAGGAGTCGGGCAGGCCAGGCTGATGCGGGTTCTCCTGGGCTGCAGAGCCCCGGGCTGGCGGACTGTTCTTGCCCCGGCAGAGTGTGACAAAGCAGGCCCCGGACAAAGCAACACGGTCCAGGCCACCCAGTGGGAGCAGACAGGCCAGAAGCCCGGGGAGGACACAAGGGACAGGGCCAGACACGGGGTCGGGAGCGGCCATGTGGTGACAGGGGCCCCGGCAGCGACACCCCACTCCGACACCCCACTCCGCCCTGGCTGTCTGGCTGCGCCCGCCCCGCCGCCCGCCGCCCGGGGCTCACTTGACATCCTGGCTGATCTGCCGCTCCAGGCGCTGCCTCCGCTCCTCCAGCTGCTCGATGGGGCTCTCTTCCGGGAACTCGTAGGGCGCGCTGCGGAGCTCACTCTCAGCCAGGGAGCGGCTGAACAGCTCCTGGGGGGGCGGGTGGGGGGTCAGCGTGGCCGGCCCTCAGCCCCAGGCCCTCCCGGTCAAGTCTGGGGTGGGGGAGGGCAGCAGGGGCTGGGGGCACCTGGGGGAGGCAGGGGGCAGGGCACAGCCAAGCGTGAGATGCGGACAGCTGAGGCGGAGGGGCCTGGGGAGCAGAGTGGGGCAGCAGGCCAGGCGGTACCTCCGCGATCTCCTTGCATTTGCCATCCATAGACGTGCGCAGGTCGAGCGGGAAGTGCTTGAGGCAGGGGGCAGGGCCTGGCAGGGACCTGGCAGACTGCAGCGGAGGGGCCCCCAGCCCACCCCGAGCCTCTGTGGAGACAGCGGTGCCAGGGCTGAGGGGGGAGGGCCGGGCCGGGGTGCACGGGGCGCCCTGGCGCCTCCCACCCCAGGCCAGCCCCGGGGAAAGGCCCGGGCCTCGGAGGGGGCTGTCCCTCCTCGGAGCCCTGGTGTGGCTCCCAGGGTGCCCTCGGGGTGGTGGGGGGACCCCCCCGCCCATTCCAGGCTCAGGGTGGGAGTCCCGAGACTGCCCCTACAACGAGTGGGTTCATTCGCTCCAGGAGAGCCCGAATTTGGGCCCAGGCCCCCCAGACTCCGTGCAAGTGCTGCCCTGGGCACACAGGCTCCCACGCACTCGGGCCCAGGTGGCCACTGGCCGAGCCCTGCCCACAGGGTCCAGGGCGGGCGGTGCAGGCCCGGCTGTGTCCCGGCAGACCCTCCTCTCGGAGGGCCGGGGCAGCCCGGCACTCTGCCACTCAGCCCTGACCTGAGACCAGCCCTCTGGGGACCGGCGGAGAGAAGTGAGGAGCCTCCTCCCCAGAGGCTGCCCTCTCCCTCAGGACCCCAGCGCTGCCAAGATGTGGCCTGGCCCGCCGCGCCCGCCCCTCCCACTGCTGGCCGCCCCTCCAAAGGGAGCCGCCGCAAACAGCCTGCGCCACTCAGAGGCCCCAGGATCTGGGCCGGAGGCCCCGGGGGAGGCCGGGAAAGGAGCCGCAGAGCCAGGGGTCTCCCCGGCTATACCACCAGGAAGACTGGCACTGGCCCTGAGGCTGCAGGTCCCATGGGGCCAACTGTTCCCAGCCCACCGCGGGACCCCGCAGGAACCCCCGGGCTCACCAGCCCCACGGTCCCCAGCAAGAAGCTTCCACGCCCAACATGACCCCCCCAGCTGGCTCCACGGGTTCTCCCTTTCACCCTCCTTTCCCCTTTGCACTGTGGCCCGAGGGAGGGTTGGAGGCTCGGTCCAGGTAGCAGCCTCAAGTCCCCGGGCCCACTTCCAGATACCCCAGAGACCTGTCAGGAAGCTAGACAGAGGGAGGAGGAGGTACCGCCCCACAGGTGCCAGTGCCTGGCTGGGCCCTACCTGCAGAGTTCAGGCAGCTCCACAGCCTGTGCCCCTCGCCCGCCTGTTGTGAGTGGAGCAGCCTGTCCCCCAGGACACTCAGGGGCCAGCTCGGGCTGTACCAAGTTGAGCTGCGTGCAGGGGAAACCCCGGGGTGATGGCAAGCAGGGGCCGAAGGAGTTCAGGAGAGCTCAGAAATCAAGAGAAAGGGCACCAGACTTGGGAGATAGGAGGCACCGAACTGAGCAGGGCCTTCACCTACCGCGCCAGGGCCCACTCAATGGGGGCAGCAGGGCTGACTGATAGGGGCAGGCTGGCAGGGAGGGGCCAGGCCACCTTAAACATACTGCCCTGGGGGACAGTCAACGGGTCAGGCCTGGCTGGCCAGGGTAGGAGGGGAGAAAGAGCCACACCCAGCAGCCCCAGGCCAGCTTCCTCTGCCCAGGGCTTGTTTTGTTCACCTCTGACCTCTGGGTCCCTGACACAGGGGTCCCTTGGGAGACAAGGCCTCTGCTGGGGAGAGAAGCCGGCTGGCGGCTGGGAAAATGCTCAGGCCAGGTGGGGCCAGTTACTGAGCTTCCCTGCAGCCCAGGAGGCAGGTTGATGGCCCCTAACAGCCAGTCCCCGTCCCGCACCTACTGCCCACACAGGACAAAGCACCCAGAAGGACATCTGTGGGAGAAGGGGACAAGAAGTTGCAAGATTTGAGTGTGACTGTGTCCCCACTTACTGGCCCAGAGGCTTCACATCCAGTCTCTAACGGGGTGATAAGCAGGTCCTGCCCCCCCAGCCACCGCTGCCACCACCAGCTCAGGAGGCGAAGACCTCCTATAAACGCTGTAATCTGCAGCTGACGAGTCCTGGGACACCCCAAACATGTACCCCAGGCAGTCCCACCCACTGCAGGGGGAGGTGGGGAGCCCAGCGGAGGCCAAGGCAGCTGAGCAGGGGCAGGCAGCAGGGAACGCCCGCACAGGGCAGGGGCAGCCGTGGCGTGGGGTGACGCTGTCTTTTAGTAGGAAGAGGTCAGAGCAGAAAGAGGAAGGAGAGATGGGCAACGGCTCCCCCACAGGGCGTAAGCCATCCCCGAGGTCCCTGCGTGCCCCAGAGCCCTGGTCCTGCACAGCCCTCCCCACCTGCCAGCCTCTCAGGGAAAGCTGACCCCAGACCTCCAGATCTTTCGGGCTGGTCTGTCTGCACGGAGCAGCAGCAGGGAGCAGCTGAGCCCAACGCCCTCATCTCAGCCCCGGCTCCCAGCAGGGGCCCAGGGCAGGTTCCAGCAGCCAAGCCATTGCCCAGACCTACCAGCCCCGGGTTCACCAAGGTAACCCACAGGCAGTAACCGCCACGTGCCGAGACCAAGCTAAAAGCCAGCTATCTGCTGGTGCCTTTTCCGTGGTCGGTGCTGGAAGCGCCCAGTCGTTGCACGACACACACACACACACACACACACACAGAGGCATCAACCAAAAGCCAGAGCAGGGGGGGGGCTCCTCAGTCCCGCCCCCCGACTCCCAGATCCTCATCCCCGTCTATCCTCCGACCAAGAGCCCACACACCCCGACGAGGCCGCCTCAGTAGGCAGGGAGGTGCCCCAGGAACCGACCCACAGTATCAGATGCTGTGGCCCTGTGACCACCCAAAGGTGCACAGACCTAGCTCCAGGGACATGGCCTGCGGAGGGCCCAATCCGGGCACACGGGCCTCCAGGGCAGCTCTGACCACCCGAATGTCTCCAGAGCACAAGGAAATGCAGGTGGCAGACCATCGGGCTATGGGTACGGACACCTGCAGGGCTCGAGCAGGTCACCGAAACAGGGCAGGCCAGAGGGCAGCCATCCCTCAGCAAGCACAGGCCAGGCAGCGTGCCCTCAGAGGTGGGCACGGACGCACCACGCCGCCTGCTCCAAATGGTGCAGCGATGCCCGCCAGGCGGGTGAGCCAAGGGTGCAGGAGAGCGCGCAGGCAGAGGCAGCTCGCAGCTTCTGCATGGGCCGCCCCAAGCCCACCCCTCACCTGCCCGGCAACTCCTAAGACAGACAGGGAACAGCTGAGTCTCCAGCCCCGAAACTGGCCCCACGTCAGACCCCACCGGGAGCTAGCAGTCCCGGTCACAGAAAGAACCGACTGCAGGAGGCAGCCTGAGCCTGCCTGGTAAAGACACGGCCACCAGCGAGCGGCCGTCCACACACCAGTCAGCCCCACACACCCCCACTCTATTCACACACCCCCCACATGCGAGGCTCCCGCACAGCCACTCACTGACACGTGTGCAAACACACCGCGTGCTGCACCCACACCCATTCCTAACAGAGGGCAGCATCCACCCTCCACTCCGCACCCGCGCGTGCCTCCTCCCCAGCCTGCTGGCCCTAGGGCCCAGGAGGAGGGGCACCCCCACAGAGGGGGCGCAGAGGCCCCCCCTCCGAGGGGGCCGAGAGTTGGGGGGCACAGCCAGCGCAGGAGGGCAGCAAGCAGCACTCACCTGGTACTGCAGAGGCGACCTGCAGGCTGGCCCGCTTCGCAAAGGGGTATTTGGCCTTGGGTTTGCTGGGACCAGAGGGGTAGGATGCCATGGCTCCGGCGGCGGAGACAGAGGGGGGAGTCTGAGCCGCACCAACTGGGCCTGGCTCAGCCACATCCAACCCCTTCCTCGCCCCGCCCCCAGCGGGAGTGACTGATGCAGGAAGCAGAGGCCCCGCCGGCGGAAGAGGCCCCAGCACGATTTCTGATGTTGTCTAGGCAACCTCGGGAACAGGGGCCTCCATCCCCGCCCCTAATCCCTCCCCTTCGCGCCCCAGTCCCAGAAGTGACGCGACTGCTGGGAGCTGAGCCTGGGGGCTGGAGAGTGGGGGACCTAGGGGGAGAAGGGCCAGCCCCCCAGCCCCCCCAGCTCTCCGCGGAGACCCTTGCCCCTTGCCAGGCTCCGGAGCGAAGGAGCCAAAGTCCAGGCTGGCTGCACCAGCCGGCTGAAGGAAATAACAGCAGGAATCCAGCGCGAGCCCCCCAGGCTCTGAACACATTCTGCCCCGGGCGGGCGTACTCGGTGAAAGCCCAGCCCTCGTGGGCCAGGGCCGCCCCTATTTCCTTCTCCAGCTGACTGCCAGCCCCAGGGTCGCCCCGTTCTGGAAGGAGGGGGTAGAACGGAGAATCCTCCCGGTAGGGAGGAGCCGGTCTTGGGAAAATTCCACTGTCCAGCTGAGAAGCTACCTTCTAGGAAGGCAGGGTGGCAGGCGGCGGGCGTGGGGGTGGTCTGGGGGGTCCTAGATTCGGGGGGCACGCAGGCAATGCCCGCGGGGTCCAGCCGCCCTCGCCAGGTCTGCACGCTGCTGAGACCCACACCCTGTCTCCCACCCAGGCCACTGCACTCCTCTCCGGAGACCCCCCGACACGGCACGCGCACACTCACCTGAGGCCATGCCGCCCGAGCCCTGCGGGGTGCGGGGGAGGCTCCCCGCCACGATCCGCACAGCCGGGAAGCCGGGGTCGCGAGCGAGGGTCAGGAGGGCGGGGCTCAGACCCCTGCCCTGGCACTCGCGGGGGATGTAGGGTGGCCCTTCAGTGTCGCCAGCGGCCGGGAGGCCGCACCCCGCCGACCTCAGCCGCTGCGCTGGCCCCGAGACCCCGGAACCCCGACCCCAGACCCGCCCGGGAGAAGCGAGCAGGCCACGTGCTCCCCAGAGAGCGGACCCGGAACTCGCCCGGGCTCCTCTCCACACTCTGCGGGGGTTGGGTCGGGCTCCAGGGGCTGGAGGATGGGGGAGTCGGCAACAGGTGCGACCCCACCGAACCCTCGCCGGGCCGCCGCCGC